GTTAAAAAGTAAAATAAAAGAAGTATGATCTTTGTAAGAAAAGCAGACTAAAGAAAAGATTAAAGTTTATCTTTTAGGAACATTGAATATTTCAAATTTTTAGCTGAGAGAGAAGACCATGTTTTTCGAGCAATATAGCCTGTGATTGAGAATGCGCTCTCACTGGGGACTGAGGTCGCGGGTATAGGACCGAATCGACGTGCCATCTGGTTCAATATTGGAAGTAAAGTTGAATGTTTTCTCCAGAATGACGCAAATGTATGACCGTTATTCTCCAGTGCTTCGAGTTGAGCAAGCTCTTGCTTTAGCGTGAAAGCTTTAGCAGTGAGTGATTGAAAAAATTTCAATTTTTAAAAATTCAGAAGATCTGTTCAAACATATCAGCTCCTTTCAAAAGAACTGTCTAACAGTCCTTTGGCTTAAATGAGCTGAACTTATGAGCTGGAACTGCTACAGGTCTAATGATGAGAATTGTGTCTAAATTTGATCCATTCTACTTAATACTAATGATAGTTGATCTTGAATTAATTCCATATCTGTATTCTTTGTTACTTTTGCTGTATTTTTATCTAATCTCTTACATAATGCTATTTGATAATTATCAATTTTACATAAATTATAAAATAATTGTCCGAAATCTTCAGTATAAGCGAAAAACCAAAGCAAATATGTTTTAATTGCGCAGATTGAATGAAATAATGAATGATACACTATTAGTTTATGATACGATTGTATCATGGGGTCCTGCTCTTATAATGTATCGCTACCTCACCGCTGTTCAGTCAAATTATAGGGGAAACTGGCTCCGCTTATAATCAAGAATATATGGATAGTTTACACTTTATAATCAAGTTACTAGTGTCTCACAAAGCAAACGATTGAGTTTTTCCATCTCTAATTAAACTCGATTTTCCTAACCAGACATAATCGTGACCATCGGGACCATGTATTTGAACACCGCTAAATAAGGCATATTGTCGCGTTGGATGGTGCTTCGAATCTTCCAATGAATGATGTTCTAAATCATTAGTAATTATTTTATAGGCAGCATTTGTTACGTCGAATAGAGTCGGAGTTACTTTGGACGATGATGCCATCAAGCGTTTTTTTAGCATTGTCATTTCCACATCATTTTCATCGATTTGAATAGGTTCTTTAATACCTTTTTTCAATTCATTTGTGAATGCCATTAGTGCACCACAAGCTGTTGATTCTTGTGTCATACCTGTTTTATTTCGTAACACCTGCCCTATTTCTCCTTTTTCGTTGATGGCGGTGTGAGTAAAACAGAAATAAACTAAACACGCCTTCTTCTCGGGTACATGATGATGTGCCGCACTGAAACCTGTTTTCCCGCAGAGCAGTAATCCACCTAGTGCACCACATGAAAACGCCGAACCATATATTGTTTCAATAGCAACTTTGAATGGACTTGTTATTTCATCTCGGCACAAGCCAACACACGCCATCGTGTTCACCTGTGGATAGAAACCTTCTGACAGCAGAGCCTGTTTTGTTTTGAAAACAAAATCATTGATCAATATTGCTTTTGGATAATATTTTTGTAGTGCTTTTTCAAAACCCGTTGTGTCTTCCTTAACGTTAACATTCACTTTAGCATGACACTGACGACATAATGGCGATTGTGTCCGATTTTCTTTGCCCTCTACAATTTCAACTTTCTGTGAATTCGACATAACTTATAACGAACGTTATCACTAGTAGATACGAATTATTAAAAATATTTTTGTATTATGGTCTTTGTTTCTCACCTTTTCTTTAAACAATAGTTCTTTGCTGTCAGCATTTTTTTTTGCTCCTTTTGAATCTCTCAAAAAAATATTTTTGTTTTTTGTGTGCGATCCTTTTGATTAATTTCCACTCTGATATGATAAACGCACCTTATTTTTGGTATTATTACATTATAGTCTACACTCGAAAGTTGTTTATTGCACTATTTTTTCTACCCAATAAATTTTATACTATATCATTTCAACAACAATAAAGAATGATGTTTGTCATCAAGGTTACCTTATCTTATTTTTGTCCTTCTTACAGAGTGGAAAGAAGATATGAGGTTCACATAAAATGTTTGCCTGAGATAAAAATTGACTTGTTTCTACTTAACCTCAATCGATGCGATTTACTGTTGTGATTAGTCAAAACTGTTACGATACCATCAAAATTTCAGAGTATTTTATTAATAGATCTACCTTCAGAGCTTTAAAAAAATTAGTCATTTGACAATTGGTATGTATAAATTTTATACCAAAACTTCCGCACAATGAGACCGAAACTATTTTAGTTACAAAAACTAGTAACAATGCGTGTCACCTAAGTACTCTTATTTTGAAATTAGTTTCGGAGAGGTGGTTCCATGAGCATAAACCACTCTATACATGGTCTTTATCAGGCGTTTGAAGAACTATTTAATTTGAAATATCGTGAAAAATGTTCCTTCAAGACAGCATGATGTTGGGAACGAGGCGAATCTTTCGTCATTACGAGACTTTCTCTCCAGTGACAAGTAGTCAAGAGCGTGTTCTTTTACCAAATGTTCTACTATCTGACACTATCAAAGTAATATGTGTAAATAAAGCTCAAGATGCATATAAGGAAAACGCCTGGTTTAAAAAAACCTTTTGGAGTAAGCTTTTGAAGTCAACTACAGTTACTTCAATATTTTCAGCAAATAAACTCTTTTCGTGACCAGTAGAATCACTTCATCATTCATAACTATATTTCATATAATGAAAAATAATCTCGAACAACATGCAACATACATTTCAAGAATCCTTTTTTTCTCTCTATAGACAGTTAATTTATATTAACACAACTGTATGATTGATCAACAAACATTCTGCATTACCTACTTGTTATTTGGTTCAACAGACACAGAAACAAAGATACGTTGAATGTCAATTTTACTCTGCATGAGTGAAATACAACTCCGACAAAATAAATTGAAATTTTATTTTAAACAAAGATAGGATATCACAAAAAAGCATCAAGAGACATATGGCATCCGAAAACACCCAATGACAATCTAAACATTTTCAAGAAAAACTGCTTCTATAACACATACATTGTGAGAGAAAACATATAAATAACACATTTTATGGAATGAGCAGATCTAAGCATAAAAACTATTGAAAGCACAGATGATCTCGTAACATGCGTTTATGGCATAACAGCCGTTCCACGTGTCATCATATTGTCAACTAAATTTGCCATTAATTCGAGCGGGAGACGATTCCATTTCTCTTGAAATTTTTGATCAATGATTTCCGATTTCTTGGTTGCTTATCTGATACTAAACTTACTAATTTTCAATATACCTCAGAGACTTTCTATCGGATGCACATCGGCACTTGCGGTTGCTCATGGTAGCCGTTCAACAACTTTTGCTACTCTCTATCTTTTAGCAAGTGTTGACGTATGCCTAGGATCGTTGTCCTTCCGAATTAATTTTTCACTGTGTTGTCCTTCTAAATAGATTGTGGGTTGACGGTAATAACACTGTTTGATAAATTTCATTTACTCAATAAAATCGATTGAAGTTCTGTTTAAAACACATAATCTGAAGAAACCACTTCTCGCAAAGCAAGCCTAAACATTACTTTTTGATCCGTACTTGACTGTTCGATAAACTTTTCGATCTTGCTAGTAATGTTTCTTAACCGGAGACGAACGGTGATTCATCCCAGATAACTACATTGTCCAGGTCCTCGTTTTCAACACTCCGTGCTCAGTTCAGTCGATTACGTATATGTTCAGCAGGCAACAATGGCTTGGATACTTGAGCACGCAATATTTTTTAGTTTCCTGAAGACGGCGCCAGACATGTACCATCACATGAAAGAATATCCCTTCCACATAGAGCGGATAACAATCGTATTGTGGGAAAAACCAGTAATCGACCACTGTATTTAACATCATAAGTATCATAACCCCCCACCCCCAGTTTAGAAGCCTTCGGGGCTTCTAAACTGTCCAAGCGTTCAAAATTATTAGGGGGGGCTTGTATTATGAAGGGGCTACTATTACGACTTTCGTACAAAAATTTCCAGAAAAGGAAATTTTGAATTTCGATGCTCTTGCCTTTCAAATCACGGTAATCTCAATTAATCTGAAAAAAATCATTTTCGAGATAAAAAATGTAAATTTTTTTTTTCCGACGTAATAGAAGCCCTTGGACTTCTAATACGCCTTCCACATCGATTCCTCCAGAGGGGGCTTCTAATACGGGGAGACTTCTATTATGGGGGGGGGAGGGGAGGGTTACAGAACAGATGGTTCATCTGACCGTGTTGTAGAATAAAGTGGTGGAGTTTGAGAATGGTGCTCGATTGGAGAACGCAGCCGAGCATGAGTTCTGTGAAATTTTGAAGCTACTCATAGTAGCAACATCAGTTCCACGACTTGATTTCGATCACATTATAGTATCAGCAATAATCGGCCAAACAGTATATGCTGGATCATACGATTCTTCTGATTCCTGTTGTGGATTATGATCTGTTACTGTATTAAATAACTGGCCAGTTTGAAAATATGATACTTCAGAATCATTTAGTTTATCATTGACTCCAGTCGACTGGAATCAGCAATATTCTTAGATGATGTCAAAATTTAATTTGGTTTAATTATATTCAAGCAAAACTCAAACTATAATTTTAGATTTAAGTTTTGCCTACAACATATATGTATGTTTATCTTTCCTTTCTATGATGCACTATACTATACTATAGTTTCTATATCATGTTCCTTGTATTTTCTTTTTCTTCAGCATTCGCTTTCAGTCATCCACTCCTCTGTTATCACCTTCGTGTATTTAAGTTCTATTTTGATCCTTTATCATTCATTTTCGGTATTCACCTCCTCTGTATTATATCATCTGTTTAGAGAAATGTCCAAATTCCAAAGAAGAAATTCAAAACGCACATCGAGGAGTAAACCAATGTTATCAACCGAACATAGACAGAGAATTATTCAAGCTGTGCGGTTGGAAAATGTTGCGAATTATGTGACATTACCTGGAAATGCAATATATCTAATCTGGTAAATATTTGAAACTAGCAGAAGATAAATTAAATGTTGGTGGACAAGCATTAATGATAGATCAAACGATCAACCAACCGCCGCCAGTATCGGATGAATTTACAGGCATTGATGTTTGATTCAGTCAACATTGTATTTGTTCAAATGGAATGGGGCCATATTAAATGATAAACGGTAACAGCAGCGGAAATGATAATCGCTGCTAGTCGATCCTTTCAAAAAGTGGCGTTAGCTTCTTGATGACACTTCCAAAAAATTGCAATAGCATGTTATTGACACAGGCGGCGGAGCGCCTTGAATCCAGGTGAGGCTCATAGTGTTTTCTTCTCTCAGGTCGAAGTTCGACGACTAAACTTTTATTCAAGTGTCATAGGACATTACCACAAGTGCATAAGAGGCTTGAAAACTATGTATTTTCATGAGATATCATGTTCGAAACTAGGTGAGGCTGAGCCTCAATTGGCCAAATCTGGGTGAGGCTTGAGCCTCAGTGGCTCCGCCGCCCTTGATTGACACTTCTGTAAGTAGCAATAGACCCACCCCAAATATAATTAGGTACTAAGCAAAGCATCATTAATTTTATTAATGATTATAAGTTTTAAAATTGTTTTGATAATACCAGCAGCTGTTTAAAGATTCATACTTTATTTTACTTTATCATGTATTTATTCGACGTGAGAAATTTTTGTACTCTAATCCTTTCCGAATAGTGCAGCCACTCTTAAATTGTATATGAGTATTCGATTATTAAGTATGATGGCAATGTCAGAAAAATTTACCGCTTTAATTAGCCGCCATTACTATGATTATGATATTAAGATGTTCGAGCAGCATTCACACTCAGCAGCGCGTTCAACAAGTTAGTGTGGTTTGGATGATATTTAAGGCGCTGGCAACTCAAAATTTGAGCATGATTCATTTTTTGCTTGGTTGAAGAGAGGTTGGTTGTTTAAAAGTGTTTTTATGAAAAAATCTAAAAACATCAAAAGAACGAAGGCGGGAGAATGACGGTGATAAACCGTTACACCAGTGTTTGTCGTTTATGATCACATAGAGCTCTAAGGTCCACACAGTACCACCGGCGACATTTGCACCGTTATTGTAAAGTCAGATCAAAATATAAATTTGTTTATATATCGTAGAAGTAAAAAATAAATGAAAGAAATGCTGGGAAGTTTCAGTCTCAATAAATTCCTAACTCAAAAACAGTTTTTCCAATTTTACCTCGTCATATTTTGGAATATAGAAAAGTGAAGCTAGACATTTTGTAGCCCTTGTGAAGCTCTATCAGCTGGTTATTTAAAACTCTTCACAGTCACAAGAAGTTGGAGAAAAGATCTTTTTCTTCTATTGCTTTTGTAAAAATTGATAAAAAAAGAGTCGTCTTTTTATTTGAAGAATATTGTTTTCATGCTGAAGTTTCGTGGAAGCCAGGAATTCTTTTATTACTCGTCCACAGTCCAACATATTGTGATTGGGTGTGTTATATCCTAAAGAAGAATTATTCTTCCAGCACATGCGAACAGAGGACGTTCAATAGCCTTTTTTTCTTCTCCTATTCCAAGTTAACCTGTGATTCAGAAAAAAGGCGACATTTCGAAGCATTAGAGCATACGCTGTGATTCGCTTTTGATGCATGTGTTTTCGGAATAATTTCAATTTTTCTTGTGTTTTTGAGTTAGAAAATTGTTGGGACTGAAGCTTTGCAGTATTTCCTTCATCTATTTTTAGTTCTATGGTAAACAGGTAAATGTCTGATGGAATGCCGCGTCTTTTAAAAAGTGTAACTCTATACGATCAAGAATAAGAAAGCTATACAAAAATACGAAGAACATCATTTGGACTGTGTTAGTAGGAAATGTTCGCAATGGACTTATTCCATAGTTACTTGTTTTTCAACAAAAGTGTCACTCTACCAATGAACAGTAAGAGGAGACTAAATTTCGCCCCATAAGAGATGACCCCTGGTCTTCTATTTTGCCCAGCAAGTCAAGTTCTAAAGGGTGCTCTTCTGTTGCGGTCAAATTTTGTCGCCTACTAATAGTCTAGCGGTCTCCTATTTGGCTTTTAAGCCATATAATCCGCAGCGGTCTTCTTTTATAGGAGGGAGGGAAATAGTTCTGCCTATTCTTCTATATACTAGCAATGCACTAAAAAGAAACGGGGAATTGCTCGAAGTACAAACTACGCACTTTTATTTGCCAAGTTATAAAACATCAATATTTCCCTGTGCCAACAGTTGTTCGCGTGATTAACTAATTAAAATTAATATTTTTGTGATCTTTTTAGTAAGCTTGTTTTTTAGCACTTGGTTTTGGGCAGCTTGTTTCAGAGTTTTTATCAGTAAAAATCAAGGACTCTTTCACGCTTTTTATCTAAGTCTAGTTCGTTCTGTAATGAGCAATTTGTTTTCGAAACCTTCCATTGTCTCGAATGGAAATTGGCAGTGATACCTTTTGAAACGGAATAAAAAGTTTTAAAAGCACTAGGATTGCATTTTTTCTATAAAAGATATCCTGTTTCGTCTTTATCTAATCTATTCAGATAAAACCACCACCGAAGCACAAAGTCCAATGCAGTTACTTGTCACATTTTTTTAATTGTCACTCTGACAGCTTTCGCCCTTCCATATTATGTACAAATAAATTTCTGTATCAGGTCCGAAGATAATGTCAACTACACTGCAACACTTTCAAAAAGAAACAAGCAAGAAAGCATATCTCTCTCGAGAAGCCGATATATATGGACTTTTGCTGTTTTCTTTAAAACCATGCCTAATTTCCAACACTTCCAGAACATTGTAGCAATTTTGCGGAGCAGATAAAGAACGTTCTCTTCCTTTCCTTTCACCCATGCCTAAAAGTCTTTTATTGACACTCCACTATTCCAAAATAATTTTTTATGCTTTGTATTTTGTGGACGTTATTGTCAAAAATAAAATAACTGTCTCTTTCACACACACAGCATTTAAATTAACAATACAAATCCCGTTCAAAACAAAATTTTTTGTATTTGCTGATTATCTCGATCATTAACATACATATTCAATTTAGAATTAAATACTTTCGATATAGGACTATATAAATATGTTGGGCCTTTTCCCGGATTATTCTGACCAGCTACAGTTATTCCAACTGCAGTACTGTTATCACTATATTTTACATTAACTCGCCGAATACGATGTTTTGATATCAGCAACGCACAAATCAAATGTTAAATCAGATGGATGCGAAAAAGGATTTCTAGCTGTAAACCAATACCCTGTTTCGCCAGCAATGATTGTTCCATTTGTAGCATCATTAGCAGTAGTAACAAATTTTTTATATGATTCTTAGATTGATCGGCTACTAAATTGTACCGCATTGATCAACATACATACCAGTTGGACTGACTACATCATCAGTAACAATAACTGTTGTTGGTCTTCCTGTTTTGGTCTCATTTGTTGATGAGGATGACAGAGAATCTATAAAGGACATCGTTCAGCCAACGGCAGGATGAGGCATCATCTGACGAAACTTCATTCCCAATCACCAGCACTAAAGAAGTTGGTACTAAATATGCGTTTTAATTTTATTAATAATTTCCAAAGTACGACCGGCATTGAAAAAACGTGTGCTCTGATGCATCTTATTGAGAAAATTATCTTTTTTCCTCCATTTCATGCTAAAAGATGCGAAAAATGGGCAAAATTGCACATTTTTCTCAAGAAAATACATCAAAAGTTATTATTTCGATCCCAGACTGGTGACAAGTTCGACAAAACTATCGCATGAACGATCCCGATTTTGACTGACTTTGACGCCCTTTATGTATAGGCTCCATGGTGATGACGATGAATGTTTAACTATTCTACCGTAGAATATGTACTTATTTCCAGGTAAAGGTAGATAAACCAAACAAAAGCTTGTGACTTTAACACAAACAGAGAGAGAGATACAAAACCAACTTACCACTCTTTGTTTCTGATACGTAAATGTCTCGTTGTCTACTGTTATTCATCATATTACCATCATACCGTTGTATCCGACGATTACTAGTATCAGCAATATATAAATTTCCTTTACTGTCCACATAAACATCATGTGGATTGTTAAGTTGATTCGTTCCATTTCTTTGGCCATTACCATCAGCAACTGTTTGTCCACGTGTTTTAATTCCACACTAAATCTTCAATCATTCAAGGCATTCAACCGAGATATTCATCACCAGCAACTTTTCTTCCTCTAACACTCGATCATGGTTTTGTACAGGTAATAACATATGGACGTTTCTGAAATAGTTTACAAGTACCATCTTCACTTTCATTCTATGCTAAAAAGAAGGAAAGTATAGTAAAGACGTTACACCATGTTAAAATTTATTCTGTTTGTTTTCGTAGTCCTCATCAATGATCCTAACTATGTTGTTTTTGGGCTCTTATCGTATTCCGAAAGATATAGTCGACTTTTATGCCTCTCTACTACATTAGTTGAAAATTATAACAATCTTCCACCGTATTTTATTTTGTAACCATCATATAAAACAATTGATTCATTTATTTTTGTTTGAGAAAATTGTGTTGGTATTTCAAATTTTTGATCATTTGGCAAAGGTGAAAACATATTTGCACGATGTCGATAAACGGATCGAGCTGTGAAAGAAAAATTTACAAGTTCAATCAACTATCGTAACTTAAAATAGGAGCACCTGTCCCTAACTTTACCTACAAGATGAAAAATCTTACCAATTGTTTTTAGACTCGGAAAATTGGCCATGTCTTCATCCTTCAGTCGTAGATTGGCAATTCCTTGATCCACTGCCGCAGGAACATTAACAGTCTAAAAGAACAGAATAAAAGGATCAGATCAGAGCGAGAGAAGAGAGAGTAGTGATTAAGTGCACTTAAATTTAAAATATCAGTAGGGAGTAGAGAGAAAGCCCAATCGAAAAGAGAAGGAACAGAAAAGAGAAGTAAAACGCCTCTCATGTCCTTTACGAATAAAACTAAAACTAAAATGATGTGAAAAAGTGATAGAGAGCACAATATTTATACACTGTAATAAGACGGGCTGTACATGAATACAATACCCGAAGAATAGAAAGAAAAGCAGGTATGACAAAAATAGAGCGATTCAGTGACTCATAGTCTTTCATAATCACATGTTTTATATGAGCGATTTGCAATTTTATTGTACCGGTAGGAGAAAAAAATGAGTGAAAAAAAATTTTTGGAAGTAAAGAAACTGAAAATGATCGAGAAAAGTGTGATCACGGTGCTAATCAGTCACATATCCTGAAACCACAAACTGTTTGCTATAAGTTGATGGAATCAGTGGATGTTAATAATGAAGAATAAATTAGATAAGAAGCATTTCTTAACGACAGGTAGCGCTAAAAACCAGCTTTTTGGATCTTATACGCCCAATATCTCAGGATCCCATTGGTATAAAGTCATTCTTATTTCCGTAGTAGTGGGGACAAATTAGGGAAACAAAATAATAATAAAATAATGAATATCGGTCGATATGACCCGGATAGTTTTTTTATTTACATTTTGGAATCAAACGGTACAATAAAATTGCAATTAGCTCATATGTACAGTCGGGGTTCACCTTCAAAAGAGATAATAGTTCTTAATAGTGGAGTGTATATGATGACTCATCGGTTTAATTGCTGGCGTAGATTGCAACGATCACTACAATTTGAAGAAAATTTCTTATAACTTGTATTATATTCTTATATTTATACTTAAAAAAAGTTGAGCCACTTAAATTATTTTTCTTTTATTTTGACCTTCATTTCTTGAGCAAAACTGTACTCAATTACAAGTCAGTGAGTATGGAGGAATATCACAATGACTATAGTCAAATACACAGAAAAACTAACCATGGCAAGTGTTCATTCCCGCAGCAGCGTGGAGAACCATAAAATGCAAAATTATTTTACTTCTCTACGCGCTCAGATTTTGTGGATAAGCTTTTATTGTAATTATCAATGAATAAGGCTTTATTTCTTGAACCAGAACCAAAGCGAGATTATATAAATTCATGAAGTTAACAGGATTGGCTTCATATTGAGAAGAAAAACTAGAAAGGTTTGCAAGATATCTAATTTCAATCAGGTTATATCATTTAAAGACTCTCAAATGCATGTTTCTAGACTCGGTTTTTGATGACGAAGAGGAAACAGATAGTCTGAAAAAGAAAAAGAACGATAAAACCGAACCATTGATAATTTTTTAAATTTTAGCGCTTTTTTCCCTAATTCAAAGAATTCAGTATTGATTATTATATTATTTTATTTATTTAACCATGTTGTAGAGCTTTGGAGTAAAGCTGATCCATTGTTATGTCATAAGCGACATAAGAACATCATATGTCTAGAAATGTGACTATTCTTTGTCCTTTCTGATATCATATATCCGTCATATTCATTCTATTCTTCTTACGTCAAGCTCTATCCAGTACTACTGGGACCATTACTCTCTTCCATCCGTTTCTCGTATGTTCAACTACCTGTACATTTTACGGTATAGAGAGAGAGAGAGACAATCAAATGGAATCATACGCTTTATATACAACTAAACACGATTTTCACAATACAATTGACGCACACCTAAGATGTGTATTGAAATATATGTGACGTTTAATAATTCTTCACTGCAAAGTAGCAATAACAGAAGATTTCCACTCTTCGATTGATTTGGGGTTTGCTGAAAACAGGAGAGTTAATACATCACATTCATCCCAGGTCGCAGGAAATGAGACATAAATGAGACATGTATGGCTCATTTATGATATGAAGTGAAAATGATCATATTATAATCCTAAAATGATTTAAATATGAGCTTAAAATGATATCATATTTGAGT